GGCATTCCCGGCTGGATGGTGAGCGCGCCCTCCCCGCCGCGGGCTCCCTTCCCACCGCCCCTTGTGCAAACCCCATTCAGGTTCCAGCCCTGCCCAGGCCGTCGCTGCTGCCGGGTTACCTCGCACAGCGCACCTCGGAGAGGCCCCCCCCACTCCAACGGGAAAAACACGCCCGGAAAAACACCGGGATTCGCAAAATACGTCGCCTGCTCTCGGCATGCCTGGTTCTTCTTGGCACAGCTGACAGACCCCCGCAGCGTTGTTGGAATGGCACCGGCCGGGCCCGGAGGTGGAACCTGGAAGGGATTTGCACAACTCGTATGTGAAATAAATGGAATGATAAAGTCTCCGTAGCCAGGAAGAGGCCTCGTGCGCCTGCTTCCCAGAGCAGCGTATGAAGAGTGGAATTCTGATAGGTGTGTTAATGGCAGAGGGAAGTCAGGGGTGAGCCAGACAAATGGCTTTGCAGTCCGACCTGGCAGGGACAGATCACGGTGAAAAACGAAATTTCATTAACAAATACGAGAAAATGGAATCTTCTGAGTGAAAGGACAGATCCCAGCCCTAAAAATGGGAACAATTCAGCAGAGGCAAGAGACTGGTCAGCAGTACCTAGGTAACAAATTCCTTGCTTTGTGCTTGTTTTTTATAAAGCCCTGCCTTTCCTTCCACGAGCCTGTGCAGAGCCAGGACTGCAGGGTGAAAATCTCTCTGCTGCTGATTTAAAAACAAAACCATACTTGAGGAAGGCGTTTTTCCTGCTTTATAGGAGGGGAGGAACACTCTGTGCTGCACTGCCTTACACCAGAGGCAGGAAAGGTCTCGGGAGTGTCCTGGATAATGATGCACCAGCTCAGCACAAGCAGATTATTCTATATGTATAAGTTCTCCTTGTGGGACAGATTGTGTGTTGATCTCACTGCTCCCACAGGATGTTGCTGCCTGGCTCCACATCTACTCGATGGACAGGCAGCCTGGAGCCACACAGCTCCCTTTAAATTTTTTTCCCCACAGGAGTGGCTGATTTTGAGTCTCGTTTACAGCCAAGACCCTAAGAGACCACCCTCTTTAGCTGTGAGGATGTTGTACTCGTATTTTTCAGGTAAACCTGCAGGAAAGGGAACTGGCAGGAGGTGCAGAGGGTTCTGGTCACCTCAGTGGAGTGCTCATTTTCAGGCTGCCCACCTGTTTTTCTGGCATTATTCCTTTAATTGATAGTCTTTCAGTTTAAAACAGAAAACAGGAAGCCCCAAATCTGCATTCCCCAGGAACAAAATCTCTTTTTTTCTTTCTACAGTAACTTAAAGGAAGCTGAGATAGAGACTCAGTGTCTACCACTTGCAGCAAGGAGTGTCTCTCGCCTCTGCTACAGCGTTAATGTTGTTTATGCCATTTATTATTTAATGTTATTATGTCATTTATAATTTAGTGTATTTGAAATTCTCGCTGGAATGTGCTGTTTCCTATTGTCTTTCCCTTCACTTTTTGAAGGCATCCAACTATAGAAAACCTGGCTTAGGTACAGCCCAGCGGAAGAAAAGTGGCTTGAAACCTGAACTTACAGAAGAGCAAAAGCAGGAGATCAGAGAAGCTTTTGATTTGTTTGACACTGATGGATCTGGAAGCATCGACATAAAAGAGCTGAAGGTGTTCAAACTTTTTTTTTTCATTTTTCCTCTGAGATGAAAATATCTTTGATCTCAAAATTGGAGCTGCTTTTTCTGTTTGTCCAACCCTACTTTAAAACAGTATGGAAGTACAAAGAAGAGTAATGGCTTGTTGTCGTGACTGAATTTGGGGTGCACTCTGCATGTAATGATTCACAGCAGATAGGCTTCTGTGCTGTGTGGCTGTTTAAATCTCACGGCTTTGAATAGCTGAGCATTAGAGAAACTAAACAGTTTCAGGTTTCATGATTAAGGTGCTTGTTCTTGGGAAGTAGACATTCATTTTCTGGGATGAGTATCAGAATATCAAATATTTTCTTCACCCGAGAACTAAACACAGATTTTGCACACATTCAGGAAAGTTGAAACCATATTTGCATATATGTAATCAAAAAATGACCTGTTTTTTAATTTAGAAAAGAATGAAACAGAGATCTGAGTTGTGTTTCAGTAATAATTCAGGCAGTGTGTGTGCACTTGCATACATACAGTAGTACAAGGGGGAAGATGATTCCCAGTTGTCTCCCTATGATTTAATGTGTTTGATTTTTTTTTTTTTTGTAAGCATGAACACTTTAAATTTAGTTATCTCCTTTACTTTGATTTTTCACATACACTCTGCTCAATTTCTGCATCTGTAACCTGGAAACATGAGCTACATCTGCCTGATATAAAGTAAGGATTTCCGCTACCATGTAGGAAAAACAACATCTTAAGAATACCAAACTTACACTGCTATTGTTCAGCAAGATGAAAGAAGATGGTAGAGGAAGGACACCATGTGTTTTCATGGCAGTGAGTTGTGACTAGAGTTCTGGACAAGGAAATGAAACGGGCTTTAGTTCAGCTCTTAGACCAGAATTCTGGTGGCCTCCTGACAAAATTTGTTTTGCTATTTTGGGACAGGTTGCGATGCGTGCCTTAGGCTTTGAGCCAAAGAAGGAAGAGATTAAGAAGATGATAGCAGACATTGACAAGGAAGGAAGTGGCACCATCAACTTTGAAGACTTTTTGGCTATGATGACACAAAAAATGGTAGGAATTCTTAGCAGAAATTCTTGTGGCAGCATAAGAAAAAGGAACATCTCAGTGTCAGGGGTTTTCTGATTAACATATGCTTTACTCTTGGTTTAGAGCGAAAAGGATTCAAAAGAAGAAATCCTGAAAGCTTTCAGATTATTTGACGATGATGGCACAGGAAAAATTTCATTCAAAAACTTGAAAAGGGTTGCCAAGGAGCTGGGAGAAAATTTAACAGATGAAGAACTTCAGGTAAATTCTGATTTGCCAGAGCTTTTCTAACAGGCACAGACAATTCCTGTAGCTCCTAGGGATTGAGTGTGAATTTAGTCCTATACCAAAAGGGCTGAGTGGTCAGAAATATGAAAAGCAGACAATACATAGTTGTTTTCACATGAAGTGCCTCTGATTTATTGTTGTTTTGATGACTGAAATATCTTGTGTTTAGAGTCCAGTGCCTGATCAAACATACACTGTGTTTTGTAGGAAATGATTGATGAAGCTGATCGAGATGGAGATGGAGAAGTAAGTGAGCAAGAATTTTTGAGAATCATGAAGAAAACCAGCTTATACTAGTATTTGTTGCCTTGCTATACAGCTGGTCCAAAAGATAACCTGGAAAAGGCTTAAAAACTGGGCTTGTGCCTCCTGCATATTTTCTGCCATGTGAACGAAGTCTGAAAGGACAGATTTTTTGGTTTATTTCTCTTTTTCAACAAAGATAATTGGGGAAAGAGAGCTGCAGTACCCAAAACTGCCAAAATGAGATACTGCAGAAGTCAAAAGGAAGGATGAACTGAGCCTGCAAGGCAGGGTCCCTTCCCCTCCACCATAACAACTTCCCTGATTGCCATTTTGGATAAACACCGTTGTGTTTTACTATTTAACAAAAAGATACTTCACTTGAGATGTGAAGATTCCCACTCCTGCTGGGAAAGGCTACTTTGCCTTCCCTAAGGCTACTGATTGAAGGGACAAGCACAGTATTTTTTATTCCTTTGAAGGTTTTTGAGGTTATCTTTTGGTATTTGTCTCCTGTTATTTCCATGAAAGACTCTAAATTAAATTGCGTATTTGTCTGTATTTCTGTACAAAACACTGTTTTCCTATGGCAAGTTGTCTCTGGATTTAATGGAATGCCAATGTAGATTTGGTTCTTCCTTTGGAGCTGTGTGCCATCTGTAGATGTTGTGTTTATCTGATCACCTGAAAACAGAATGAAACTTGAATGTAACCTACTTGGGTGACCAAAGTTTATTGTTTGTAACCAGGCAACGCCTTGTGCCATTGTTCTTACTCCCCAGACATTACAAAGCTGCTGTCCAGGCCTTCAGGTAAACTAAAAAGTTTGGTTCCATGGTGCAGTAGAGTAAATTTTGTGTTGTTGACAGTTAGATTGCAGAGAGGATTTGCATCTGAAGTGAAAAGTAGCTCACCATGGACATCTGTGGAGCACTGAATATATTTAGATCCATGCACTCCAAATCCATTTTGCACATCACAGGTTTTGGGGTGGTTCTTTTAGGAGTACCTTCATTTTCTTCAGTATTTCTTGCATCTGCTGTCAATCCAGAACTTACTGGAGAGCCAAATTTCTTTCTGAATTATAGAGCAGTGATACACAGCCTGCTATCTGATTATGTTGCTCTGCAGGAGAGTTTATCCTTTATAGACAATCAGTTTCAAAACTTTCAAATCCTGTAAAGCTCCAGAGGCCCAAGTAGTCCCCTGTTAACATGGTGGCCATAGATGTAATCTATAGTACTGTGTTTTAAAATGTCTTAACTTTGTATAAGTGTGAAATAAAACTGTTTTGCAAGTTAAGAAGTTTTTGTGCTTATTTTCTATTTTTCTAAATTATTTTCAAGTCTTAAATGGTTCACCAAGCACATTTTCACTTTCATTTATCTCTTCTTTCTAAGAGAGGAATTCTTAGGTGCAGTAGTCTGTCACGTAATTCCTCTTCCACTCTGCTGATTAAAAGTTTCTAGTACTAACCACATAAATTCAGAAAGGGAAGTTTGAAGTTCTAGTTGATTATGGGGAATCCCAGAGCCTATTAGAGTGACTGTACTTTTTCTTTTTATGCTGCCACAGGAAGAGACTGATGACTGTGGTTTACCTATGATGCATGTCACTTCTCTCTTCCTGTTCTAATCCCATTACCTGCCCTGAAGGTAGGAAAAAGCCACACAATCATCCCTGCCGTGTGTACTACAATGGTGAAGTGTTATTTCTGGCTTGCCCATTAATCTCTGAAGTCTGGAATGTCAAACAGTGTCTGAATGAGCACAAAGCTTGCCAGTGTTAGCAAGTGTCTCTTGGTGCTTTATTTTGCAGGATAGTGAGGGAAATCCTCCCCTCTTCAGCCTGGCAGCTGGTGAACCCCATCCTTTGCATCCCTCTTCTCCTTACACTGACACAGAGAGTGGGTCCTTACCTGGCATCTGCAGATTCCCCTCAGGTGGCTGCAATTCAGACATTCCTTGTGTGCACCCAGCTGAAATCCTTCTGCACCATCAGCAAAGCCTGGTTTTCACTCTGAGTGTTCATTCTAGGCAGATACTGTACAGAAAGGAAAGTGGAACTTGTAGTTTGTGTCTGGCAAACACCTAAATATCAAAGCATTGGTAAAGGCAATAAATAAGTGCTTGGGAGATAATATTGCAAATGTCTTCTGAGATATGTTTTGAAATTAAAAAGTACCAGACTTTTAGTAAAATACAAAATAGTTCAAGAGAGAAAAAATTGCTTACTATTTATATTCCAAAATACGACAATTGCATGGCAATTTGAATCTCCCACATGCAGCTTCTAAGTTCTGCATCATCTCTTAAACGTACAGTATGGTCCCACAGTCCTTCCAGTCCCCCACTAAGGCAAATCTCCAGCTGGCTTTAGGGTAGAAAGATTCGAGGAGCTGCCGAGGAGTGCTGTGCTCTCACTTCATTAGGTGTGAGTTTGTTTTCAGAGTAATGAGCACAGGATTGGCTTCTAACATGTCAGAAGAAAAAAGGCTTCTTTTCAGGTCCACCTAATCTTGGCATTTAAAAGAGGATGGGGGGAAGCAATACAGGAAACATTTGTGTACATTCACATGCCAGGAGTCTTACTAACAGAGCCCAAATAGTTCCATAAACTGATGAGGCATTTAATATTAAAATACTTAAATTGGTCATTTACAGTTGCAAAGACTAACTCCCATCCTGCAAACTGCCTGGTGAAGCATTTGAAATGTTGAATATTAGTTCCTTGGAAACCTCCTCACGGAGTTAAATCAAATATTGCCACACTACAGCTGCTTTTAAATGCCCCTGGATAGCAGAAGTGGATTTTGAGCAGGGCACAGGGCAGCAGACTGCTCCGTCTAGAGGCTGAGATGAGCCTCGGCCACTTGAGGAAAGGCAGCCTCAGGGGATAAATCTGCAAAGCCAGCTTCCTTCGTGTCACGCCTCTCCATACAGTCCCATAGGTCTGAGAGCGTGGCAGCCTCGCTAGAGGGCATCCAGTTACTGACGTGTGAGGCTTTGATGCTTCTTTGCCTCCACTGTTACTTTCAGTGGAGGGAAAGCAGGCACACAAACATCATCCAGACTAGGCTTGAAATACGTGGTTGGATACAGAATTATTTTCTGTGAAATTAAGAAAGCAAGGCTGCTCTCACAACCCATGTGCAAAATGCTGTAATTATTAGTCATTAGTTGTTCAAAGCTAAACCCCCAAACCACACTTTCTGAAACTCCCACTCTGTATCAATAATTGCAGGCACTCTCTCAGGAGAGCAGAGAACTCAACTTGCCTTTCACACAGTCTCCCCAAGTGCTCTGACCACTCTGTAGAGTTATTTTCACCCTTTGGGAATAGTGCTATCAAATGGAACCACTTCCAGCAGAGAGACAGAGCCAGGCTCGCTGCAGGATGCTTGTAGTCCTCCCTTGGGATGTGGGAAAGCTGGAATCATGGCCTTGCTTCGAGTCAAGAGGAACAAGGATTTGAGAATTAGACTCTTGTCCCCAAGGTGAGTGTGTTGACCTTTAGGGATGTGGCATAACTCCAGTGGCCTAGTGGAGACCTAAACCTATAGCTCTTAAACTCTTTGCAGTCCTGGTTGTCACTGATTACTGAACTTGAAATTGGTCAAGGCATTTTTTTTTTTTTTGCTTGTCTGGATGAGATTCAACACAGAGAATACTAACAAAGCAAAACTTGCTGTCAAGCCTGAGCTGCAAAGGTGTAAAATTCCCTTACTCTCAAGGCCACTTTATTTCCTCTGAAAGCTTCTAACTGGTTCTAGCAGTGACATAAGTTTCACTATGAAATTAACCCCCCCCCCCCCAGTTAAATATAGCCATAAAAACAGATTTCCATAGGAAGAAAATGGAATAGCTAACCTAGCCCGTTTCCAGCATTATTTTGGACCACTCTCTACCCAAAAACATAGCTTAGTGCAGTGAAACAAAACCAGTGTGATTCACACATCCATGCTATTGTCTGAAATTGCTTCCTAGTATGGTTTCTTCTCCACCTCAGTATGGAGAAAACAGACACATACTTTCCTCAAAATTTTTTCAGACATCCAAATGAGAAGTACTATGAAAGCTTTAAACATCAAGGGAAAAGTGACCACAGACAGTGTAGATAGAGTTAGAAACACGAGAAGGTATTTCAGTTTAAAAAAATAATATTTAAACAGCTTCTAAAAACATGGTATTAGGTCATCTCAGTGTAAGTTCTGTGTTCCCCATGTTTCCTCTTTAGAGAGCTTAGGACATGATTGGCCAAGAAATCCACAGAAGCACGTTTTCCACAAATCTTTCGAATGTTTTGTTTAAACCACTCCGTAATACACTCGTGAAGCTGAAGAGAATTGCTGCAGAATAGCTCCTTTTGGAAAGGATATAATTTAAACAAAGTTTTTAGTGTTTGTTTGGCTTTTTTCCTATCGGGCTAACTACATTATTGATGAGGTTATTGATGTTAGTGTATGGAATGACAGGTACCTTTTGCAGAAATAAAAGGAGATTTTTGCCTAGTTGAAAAAAATCCACGTGCGTGAAGGTACAGTCCATCTAGAGCAGACATCAGGCAACACAGGTGCTAAAACTACAATTTTCTCTAAGCAGAAAATTACCATAGTTGAGATTATTGTTCAGTAAACATATCCCTTTACTTGGCTTTTTTTCATCCTCCTCCTTAACATTAGGAACCAATAAATTACTCATCAAAATGGCCGAGAGGTTTGCATATTCTGCTTGTGCTGTGAAATATGTAAATATTTTTTATCAAATCCTGATAAACTGGGTCACTTGTCTGGGTGGGCTCATTCTGCAGAAAACAACTCTGTTATTGCTAAAGGCATTAAAAATAGCAATATTACAAATCCAAGAGAAAATGTAAGTTGAAAATGCTTATGTATCACAATTAAAGGAGGTTTTCCAGGAAATGAAAGAGCTTTTAGAAGGTGGGAGGGAAGAAACAAGTACTTTTATTCTCCCTGCTATCAACCCTAGATGCAATAGATGAATTAACAGGATATTATTTATTACGCGGGGATTTTTGCGCCGAGATTCAGAATTCTCCTGACTCTCAAATGCCTGCAATGCCGTGACTCACTGAGCCAAGGTCTAGGATGGTGCAATCCTGACCTCCTCCTGCCAAGGGCTCAGCATCATCTATTCCCATTGCCTGCTGCTGGACTAAGCAGTGCTTTAGCACTTGTGCAAAACTGGGCTTTAGACAATGGAGGCTTTAGGTATGGGCTTCCTATTTCCTGCGGTGGATTTGTGTAGGTGGCCTTGTTACCAGAAATCCATACTCCTACACAGCAACTTCTGACTGTGTTTCTGCAGAAATGACTATGATGAAAGGAATGAAATATTTTGAAAATTAAAATCATCTGTTTGTTTCTCCAAAACGGTTGGGGTATCTCCTGCTGGCGAGATCAATTTCTTCTCTCTTGTGGCAAAATTAGGAGCGGGGTGGAAAACTAAAGGATTAAGGCTTGCAAGGGCACCTTGGCTTGGGCTGCTGCACACAAGGAGAGGGGAGAGCCCGTCTGAGGTGTCCTCTGCCCATCGTTGGCAGCTGAGTCACTGGCCCAGCCTGCAGAGCTTCTTGCTGCTGCATTTTGCAGCCAGGAAAATCCCACATCCTCCCAGTGGGTGTAGGAAACGCAGCTACAGCCTCTGGATGCGTCGGCACCAAAAACAAAGGGGAGACTGTGGTGCGGGCGGTGGCTGCGGGCTCAGGGCCAGCGTGCCAGGACCTCGCCGACAGCATCCCTGCCCACAGCCCCGCTGGTTTGCCAAGCCCAACACTGCAAGGTGTGTGACCAGCTCTACCTCCCCACATGGGGACATGCCAGGGCCACCAGCAAGCAGCCTCTGCTGTCCCACCTCATGCTGTGTCCCTGCTTTCTGGCGAGGAGCGTGTCACATCTTGCCCTTCCTGGTCATCCCCAGCCCTGGCTGTTTGTCTTCAAGCACAGGGGCTTACAGAAGTCTCGGCTCTTGGCGTGCTGTTGTGGTGAGCACAGCCCTCGTGGCTCCAGTGAGGGTCACCAGAGGTGCTGCTCTTGCCTGCCACCCATCTCAGTCCCAAGCCTGATTCCATGATTGCAGAGCTGGGTGCAATCAGCCAGGGCAGCTTCAAACCCTGAATTTTCCAGTACTGGCTGAATACTGCCAACACTGCTTCCGATGACGGCTCTGCAAGCATCCTGCTGGGAGAGCAACCCAAGGCATTGCTCACAGATCCATCTTGTTTCCTTGCATGTGTTCCCTGTGGCACTTGCCAAGCTCATGTTGAGGGTGGTGTTATTCTGAGAAGACCGCAAGCATCCTGGGTCAGGCAGCCAATGCCTGGCTCTCCAGCCTAGGGTTGGGTATTGCTCTTGGGAGAGGAAACACAAGAACAGACCGGCATGGATTTGCCCAGCTGTCTGGGCAGCTGCTCCAGACAAAAGCTCTTTTGAGAAGCTGCTCCTGTAAAGGGGACAAGAGGAGACCTGACATCCCTAAATGTGCTCTTCCGTGCTGAGGTGGCAACTGGAGAGCTCTGCTGGCCCCCAGCCAATCCCACAATCCTAACACAATCCTTCACCAGTGCCATGTTTCCTTCAAGACTTCTCATCCTCCTCTTTGTGCCTCCTTAGCAAAGCTGCTGCCCCTCTGCCTTCTGTTTAGCCACCTGAAACCTCTCCTGGGAAGGTTAAGCAGCAAGACCATGCAGAAAATAAAGGAGAGGAAACCTCCTCTGACATCCATTCCCTGTCACATTTGTTCCATGCCCATACTGACCAAAACACAGGAAAGGAGAGACGGGAGAAAATAGCTACGTGTCACGGGAAAAACAAACCAGCCTTTCCTAGCTTTGCCTAGGCATGCATCCATTTACCAGACCATGTGCTTTTGGCCCAGCCTGATGGTCAGACCAAAGCCTGCCTCTGTAATCTATGCCAACAAGGGAGGAACAAGGCCCCACAACTCCTTTACCATGACTGGGTCACCACTCGGATGCTTTAACACTGGTGTTCAACACCAACATTTTCTTCTGCGTAGCTGTCACAGGTTGGCTCCACCATGGGCCTGGGTACACCACAGGTGCTCCCTTTACTGACCTCAGCATTTCCCTTTTCACCCAAACCACTTTATAGTGGTAGTTTA